CCCAAAAAAAAAAAAAAAAAAAAAAAAAACCCAGAAAAGGAAAATTCATTTCACTTTAGACTAAAATCAGTCGCAGCTTGGATTAACCTTCACGGAGTGAGTGTGCCAAGCCCTGAGGGGTTACAGAGATGCAGGGAAGATGCTCCTGGGAGTAGAACCACTACCCCGAAGCTGAAATAGACTGCAGGAGGGTGTGTCTGAGTAGGAAATATTGGAATATATTACCCGTATGATGACAGGCATTATTGCAAGAAACTTTCATTACGGTGTAGGGGTGTGAATATGTGCACTGAGAGTTATAAATACTGCTCTAAAAACACGGGGTGAATAAAAGTGGGGTAAAGATTTTGTTTTTGTGTGGTCTGAGTGGGGAAAATTTAACACTGCCTGACCCTGGGCTGTGGAAGCTGTAACAGTGGAGGGTGACGTTGCACAGGGCACGTCTGTCTGCCCTCGGTTGGCTTCATCAGATTGTTTTAATTGCAGGGAATGTCACTGTCCATTAGAGCACTCTGACTCCATAAAGCAGCTCGGCTGGCGAGAGGCACTTGAGCCATTTGGTTATCTGTGCTGAATAGTTCCCAATGCCCTGGTCCTCGTTTCAATGCCATTAACATTAGTGAAAGCTGAGCCTGACCACTCAAGAGAGTTTCCCAGCCTCCTCTCGGTGGGAAACTATAAAGTAAGATGGGGGCTGAACTCAGCTCAGTTTCCAAGGAGGTGTAAGTTCCTGACGAGGTACATATGACAAGACCTCCTGACCCTGATTCTGACCCACTCCGGGGGTATCTTCTGAAACAGAAAATCAAAATTTATTAGAGATATAGGAATTTTGCAAATAATAAAAAACTTTACAAATGGACAAATATAATAGTGTTTATATTACAGAAAGCTGAGCTGCATAGAAATTAACAGGCAGTCAGTGACAGGTTCGATGCTGGAGGGAGGTCAGTGCAGATGAGACCCAACGCAGTGGTGGCTGGAGGCGAGTCTGAGACCTCAAGCTGGAAGCCTCCTCAGAGATCAGCAGCAGCTTGAGATTATCCTGTCCGAGAGGCATCAGACACACAGGTGGGTGACTGGAACATCCAGACCTGTGCGCCCATCCCTTTCCAGAGGTGCCTCTGCTCTTTCTACTTTAGAAGTTACAGAACAGCTCAAGTTTAGGGATGCTCACCGTATAACCTCCCCCACGTGCCTCTCTTCCCTTTTGGTTCAATGTTAGCTAAGCGACTATACTTGGAATCCTATTGGTTGACTGTAGTTTGACCCATAGCTACCCACATTATGATTCTTGCTGTATAAAATATCCTTGGACAGAGACTCACTGTGGCAACTCCATATGGGATCCCTCCTGTCTCTCAGGAGCTTCCTATCAATAAACCTGTGCAACTCTTCACTTCCTTTGTCCACCCAACACATCCTTCAACATTCAGGAGACACAAGCCCAACACATGTAACGTCTAGCAGGTGGAGAGTTATTTCAACAGTATCGATCTTGGACTAGTACACAGGCTGAAGTTCCAAGCTGTTTCTGTCTAGAAGACTGACCTTGGATAGATCATTTCGCTAAGTTTCACTTTCATGGTCCGAAAAATCAAGATAATAATCTTGCTTCCCCTACCTTGTGGAGTTATAAGGAGTTGGAACACCTTCAGGAGACAAGGTAAGAGCAACAGTTTGTTGGGATTTTAAGTGGGTTGAGTTTACAGAAATCAATTGCTATTGATTGAACAGAGAAGATGAATTAGCCTCTTTTGTATGGACTGGAGCAATTAGTTGGTAATTTACACCTTTAATTAGAATATTGTTCTGGGTGAATTTAAACCTAGATATTAGGCTCCCAAGACATCAGCAGGCTGAGCTGGCCACATCAATCACCCTAGAATTTCATTACATTTTTTGAAAATGGCATTGAGTGGGTTAGTGGGAATGGGAGTGGTAACATTTTCTAATAAATCATAAAAAATGTTAAAAATTAGATGGAAAAATAAAATAAATAGGAGTTAGGCATGGTTATCTCCTTGGTCCAGAAACTGTACCCTTTTGGATGCGTGTCTTGCCCGTCCTCCACATCTTCATCTTTGTTTCTTAGGGAGTCCTGCTCGATTGTGATACGCTCGTCCCCCTGGAGATCAGACATTGGAGTAGAGAGGAAATAATCAGAACCCTGGGAAGTGTGTACACTGATTGCCTTCGCTTGAGACTGTGACGAAGAACTTTCAGTGGGGCCTTTTAATTGATGCGTAAGATGGCTTCTATCATCTACGGCTAGCTATCTTAGTTACTTTTCTTTCATTGCTGAGACAAAATAAGGTTCAAAGGGTATAACCGATAGTGTGAAATTGGAAGAAAATGGCTAAAGGGGAAGTGGGAAGGGGAGGGGAAAGGAAATGAGGGAAAAGAAAAAACATGAAAAAAAAGGAAAAAATGGAAACAAAGTCTTTGTAAATAGGGAAGGGTGAAGGAGGTGAAGGGAGGGCAGGGGTATGGGGAAAAAATGAGAACCAAGACATATCATGCAAAGGTACAAGATCCCAATGATAAATGCACCTATTGTTTGCTTTAAATGTACCAATAAATTAAAAAAGAAGTTAAAGGGGGTAATGTTTTATTTAGCTCACAGTGTGTAGAGTTTTCAGTCCACAATCAGCTGGCTCCAAGGCAGGTGGTGCAGCAGACAGGCATTGCAGAGGAGAAACAGTTCATGGTGGGCAGAAGGCAGCAAAGCAAGCAAGGGACCAGCACAGCTCTTTCCAACCCTTGTATCCTATCCAGGCTACTCAGGGCAGGCAGCACCCTTAATCCTGGTGACCTTGATCCTAGAATTGTTCCCTGAATCGATTCCACTGTCACACACTCTAGATCTAGCCAGCTCCGAAAAATCCCCACCTATGACTGCATGAGGCTTTGGGGGTGGGATCTAAACACAAGCCATAACCACAGCATAGACATTTTTCCCTCTTATCATCACAAGACATTCATTGTCACACTTATCTCTCCCTTTCCTCCCAGAGGAGCCACTGACTTTTCCTTGTCTTAAGGCTCACATTTCTGCTTTGGGCTCTTGTCGCTATCATAATCATTCAACACCGGCTCTATTTCCAGGCAAGTTCCGAATGAATGAATATCAGAGACTGCACACATCTTCCTTTACATTATGCCGGATCTAGGTTCCCTGGGACTGAGACTAAGGCTGGTTTTATTTTCCTGGTAGCTCAAGGCTTGATCTGCAGATGTGAACACCAGCTGGCACCTTCAAGAGCAGAGGAACCAAACCTCTCCCCAGGGCATCGCATCTTGCCATCACTTGGGCTGTAGCAGAACGTTTCCTTCACCTAGATAGCTCTTGCTGTAACTAAATGAGCAAGGTATACAGCTGGACCATATTTCCTGGACAGTCTTTGTAGGTACCGTGTGAGCTCTCCAACATCCACGACTCACCCTGTTCCCAGCTCGGCACAGGGCCTTCCCCCATTCTGCAGCAATGCCTCACCGTGCAGTTGGCTGTTTGCAACCAACAGGCCTGGACGCTGGGGCAGAGGTGCATGGCTGCGGCACTGGTTTCAATGTGTACTGAGAAGTTTAACGCCACAGTTCAGCTTTCGTTTTCTGTCATATTCTATGGCCTTTCATTCTCTGTATTTTAACTAAATCACACAGATAAATCATAGCAGGCTGGTGAGCTGAAAGGACCCTCAAATATCATGCAGTCCTTCCATGCAAACTCTATTGCCCTTCTAGCTCAAGATTATTTCTGTTCCTTTGTTGTTTTTGGGAGGGGCATGAAACTAGGAAGGTGAGAAGAAATTGGAAGAGAGACCAGCTGAATCCAAACTGCAGAGGCTGAGGACGGAGGCAGAGAGGAGTCTTATGTATTTATTTCCATCTAACATCTAGCTTGGCCAATAAAATATGACAAGTAGTTGATTTAAATGATTCAATTGCTATTTTCTTGCAGTGAATGTACCCCAGATATCTACTATCTATGGGTTGTCCAGCACTGTTGTTTTGCTTTCTTTTCTCAATTCTTTATCTTTTAAAAACAACACAAGACCACTTTTACACCCACAGTCATAGGAATGTGTCTCTCTTCCCCTCACCACTGACCACTGGAGGGTGGACTTTGGTGCCCACTCCCTTACTTCTTGTTCACCACCTAGCCCACTGCAATCTTCTGTGGAAGGTTTCTGTCTGGGTCACCCAAGGCCTGCAGTGGCCAGACCAGGTAGCTATTCCTCACTTTTCATATTCCTGTTCACAACTGTAAAATATCTGAACTTTGCGTGTTTTCTTGTAAACAATTAGAAAAGGTGACTTTTTAAGAGTAGTGCTAGGTCCCCAGGAAAACAGAGCTGAAAATACAGAGATTTCCCTTGTACCCTTGCACCTACCCTCCCCACTACAATGTCTGGCACTGGAGCAGCCCATTAGTCACAGCCAGAAACAGTTCTGACACATCAGCATGGCCCAGAGTTGGTTTCCATTTAGGTTCGCTTTTGGTGGTGTGCAATCTGTGGGTTTGATATAATGTCTGATGACGTGTGTCCACCATTGTAGTATCATACAGAATAGTTTCATTGCCCCAAGTTTTATTTATCTCTGCCTCTTCCCTGATCTCTGGAAACCAGTGATCTTTTCACTGTCTCCATAGTCAGGCTTTTTCCAAAACGTGTACAGTTGGAATGGTACAGTTAGCAGCCATTTCACATTGACTTCTTTCATTCTGTAACACACATTTAGGGCGTGTGTAGGCCTCCACTTGTCTTGCTGGTCTGATTCTGGATGTACCAGCCTTTAATTTATCTGTTCACCCGCAGAAGGATATCTGGGCCACTTTCAAGCTTTGGCACAGATGGATAAAGCTGCTATAAACATCGGTGTGTAAGTTTCTCTGTAGTTTTCTTTTTAGTTCTTTGAAGAATATTTAGTGACATGAACACTTCTTACAATATATTGAGCAAAATACACACCTAGTAATCTGCATGCCAAGTAATATGGGTAATATACTTCCGATGTGGGTCAGACATGCTGAATCCCAAGATGTAAGTTGCAGATTTTTTTTCCCCTTGAATTACAGGTCAATTTTTACCCTCCAAAGTTGGTTGGAATAATTTTCCATATTTTATACCATAGGCAAATTACCCTTTTGTCATGAAAAGATTTGCCCCAGAGTGGTGCTGTTGCAGGTGCTCAGTGACTTTTTAAACGATGATCTCTAAATAAATAATTTGCTCATTCAGCAGCAGTAAGATTTCTTCCAATTAAATGCAATGCAGAATTCGAAATCTAAATGAAATAAAACAAGCCCTTCAGACTGGTTCAAACTCCAGCAACACTAGAGGAATCTGAGGCATGACGGACACCACTTCAGAACCATCTCTGAGCTGAACCCTTGTCTGCTTCACTTACCTGAAAATTCAGACACTTTTGTCCAAGCCACTCTTTAGGAGGTAGGGCCTTATCTACCATGTGGCCCAGGCTGACCTTGAACTCCTGAGCTCAAGGGTCCTCCTTACTCAGTCTCCTGAGGAGCTGGGACTCCAGGAGGGCAGCATTACACTTGGCTGTAAACCAGTACTTTCTGCCCTGAGATTGAAGTTCCGAGGACAGGTGTATGCAAACAAAACCCCTCTGTTTGGCTCTCATCACCACTGAGTTCCTGCCTCCAAGGTCCGACTGCTGCACAGTGTGACCAGTTAGTCCTTCAGTCGTCAACCAAGCCTACCTGTCTGAGGTTTCCTTGCTCCCCTCTACTCCGTATTGAGTTGTTTCCTGATGCGTTCTGTTTTCCAATTTCTCCATCCTAAAAAAACAAAAGTACAGATTGCAGAAGTAAAATGCCAGAGCCCAAACACAAACATCCTGTAGTGAGTGATACCTAGAAAATTCTGAAGGATGAGACCCACAAAATTTAGCAGTTTAAAGAGGCATTGGATTCGAGAAACTGCTGTTAAGAAACACAGATGAGCCAGGTGTGGTGGTGGATGTCTGTAATCCCAACCCTTGGGAAGCTGAGGCAGGAGGATTGCCACAAGTTTGAGGCCGGCCTGGCCTACTTAGTGAGACTGATTGACTGATTCAGACAGGTAAAGATGGAGGCATGGTGGTGCACACATGTAATTCCAGCACTAGCAGGCTGAGGCAGAGACTCACCAGTTCAAGACCAGCGTGGGCAATTTAGCAGAGACTCTGTCTCAAAATAGAAAAGGGCAAGAAAATGCACTCATCAGGACAGTGCCTACATCGAATGTGTTTCTGAAGTCCTGAGTTTAATCCCAAGAACCACAAACAAAAAGACCAAAAACTAAACCAAAGCTCACGAACAAACAAGAGTGACCCAGATGGTGTTGCCTTTGCTTTGTTCTGAGGGAAGAATGGGTGTGTCTCACACAGAGGACCTAGGACAGGAGCCCCTCCGGGCCAGCACTGCTTGGTGCCAAGCACAGCTGGGCTCTGGGGGAGGACTCTCCTGGAAGCAGGGAGAGGAGGCAGGAACCCAGGAAAGAACACACCCTTCCATGCCCCCCCCCTCCGCGCCCCATCAGGCTCCCGTAACTGGATCCAAACTCCTAAAGGCCCTGAACTCATCGGTGGATGAACCCACCCACATCCACTCCTCTTCCCAACCCACGCGACCGGGGGCACGTTGTGGACCTACACCGTAACTATGTGCGACACTCCGCCAGCCACATCTCCCAGTCTCGACCCCCGTAGTGGCAGCACAGCCTGTATTTAGCGTTCTGATCTGGCCCAGGATCCCGGCTCTCAGAGGGGCTAAGGCTTTCGTGGTGCGGATGACTCCTGCCACCTGGTGGCAGGACCTGGAACTTTCTATAAGAGCAGCTGGATGACCTTGAAACTGACGTGCGGTGCCGAGGGGCCCTGTGCTCCTCTCAGGGGCCTGGGACGCCGGCGTCTGTGTTGCTCCTGTGGCTCGAGTGCAGGCCTTGGGCTTTCAGTGTCTTCAGTAAGGACAGTGTCTCTCCCATTTGAGGATTTGCGGTAGGAACGACAGGGTTGTTAAGGGTTACGTGTGCCTACAGAAGGACCATTAAGGGGACTGCAGTTTTGTTTCTCTCCAGTTGGAGTCCTAGGCTGCAGTAAGGGCTCACTATTGCCTCTTGGCTCATGAATTCTTCCCACATATTTAGCATTTCAGATTACAGCACAGGTTTCTGCCCCGCCCCTACAACCTGTGACCTCTCAGATCAGAGCCGTCCCTCTCGGGATGGCGGGAAGTAGGCGGCGGGGTGGGGGTACCAGAGCTCCAAGCAGTGCACAGCACGCCTGGGCGGATTTCTGTCTTAGCTGCTGGGTGTGCTAGCCGTGACGGCTCTGGCTTAGGCCCTCTCTCAAGGGCAGGGCCTCGTAGCCAGCAGGGCCCTGCGCCTGGAATTTGGTTCCCAGCTGTCTCTAGTCGCGTTTCCTTTGCTTCTGGAGCCGTGGTGGCTGCTGCTCCTTTTCTGTATTATGTTCTCCCCTCACTGCGTTTCCAAATCTATCATGACTTCTAGAGCCCCGGGGTTACTAAAACTAGCAACCCCCGTGGCAGCGTCCCCTTCTAAGACGTTTTAGCTGACACGTGGCCCCCCAGGAAAGCTACATTGCTAAGCGTCTTGGCGCAGTGGGTTCATAGAAGGGCTGCCTCGAGAAGCAACTTGAGGAATCTTCTCGAAGAGGTGGCTGGAAGCTGCTCCTGGTGGCTTCTGTCCTGCTGCCTGGCACATAGACAGCTCTGGCCCAGGCCCCAAACATAAGCGCTGACTCTGGGGATGCCGAGGGAGGTGCTGGGAGGGTCCGGATCCCGAGAGCCTGCAGTGGCCACTCACACGTTCTGTGCTGCTCTTACCCGGATTTGTACCCGGATGGGCTTTTATTTTGCCTGGATGACACACACTTCGTGGTACCAGGTACTGCTGTAGGCCTTTCACAGAGCTTAGTATTCAGTCCTCACACCAGGCCTGTGAGGCAGGTTCTGTGCCCTTCAGTTTTACAGATGGAGAAATGGAGGCAAAGATACATCAACATTTGGGTTGCAGAGCCCAAAGCAGCTGAGGTGGGATCCGAGCTCAGCCTGTCCATCCCATCTGTGTCGCACCCTGGACGTAGGGGTGGGGGGACATACGGCAGTAGAGCTGCGGACACATGATGTCCCTTTGGCTCCCTGTAAATGTAGATAGGCTGATTTGTACGTTAGCTATTAAAAGACAAGCGTGAGATGATGGACGTGTTGAAAGTTCCAGAGTGCTGTGGCTACTCCAAAGCTACGTGCAGGCTCTGGTGAACCTTGCTGAAGCCAGTGTAGTGGTGTTGGCCACACTGCCCACCGGATGTGAATGCAATGGCTCCCCTCAGTGAGAGGTGAGGGCCTTCTGCACTGGCGGATGTGGCCTCACACTGGCTTGGCTTCCTGGCCTCTGGCCCACCTTGCTTCCCTTGCTCAGTCCTTGGGACCAGGGCTTCTCTGCACGTCAGTGTGCAGGGAAGCTTCTCCTCTTTTTGGCTCTGGCTGCGTGGCTGTGGACCTCCTTGCTGAGGGCACAGTCTGTCTGAGGGCTGAGGACCTAAGAACCCTTAACTGCCTGTCCCTGAAATTTCAACTGCTTAGGTTCGTGAAGATGGGCATAACCTGGCAGTCAGGTGTGATGTTGACAAAGGCCCGGAGGAGCTGCTGTGAGGTTCTTTACGTGGTCTGGAGCCTGACACTTGACAGTGAACAGTTCTGTGAAGAGTTTGCTACCACACTGTGACAGGAAGCTGCACACTTCCAGGTCAGATTCCGATTGGCGAACAAAATTCCTTATTTTCTATCTACTTGCCTCTCATCTACCTATCTACCCATCCAATTCACATATGTCGGGACAACTTTAAAGTGATTTTCTTAGATGCAGTGAATACAGAGAAGTGAAGCCTTCACTATTGCTGTCGTGTCCCCATGTCCAGGACAAGAATGGTTCAGTGATGTCAGCTGGACTTGAGCCTTTGTGTTCAGACTTTATGCTGTGCCTTCTTCTCTGCTGAGGACCAGCGCAAGGTTCAGATATGACTGATTTTGGAGTGAATGAGAGGGATATCCCTGGAGCCCATGGAGCTTTCCAGTGCAGCTGAACCGGTGCCTCTACAGCTGAGTGGAGATCAAACTGCTGCTGTGTGGTCTGAGCATGGTCCGGCTCATTCACAATCCTGCTGACCGAAAGAAAACCTAGGAGGTGGAGTGGGGTAGAGCTCCAAGAGGTGACGGGTGAGTGAGTTAACTCCTGGTGAGATCAGCGTGGCATCTCAGAAGGGGATCTGCTGTAAAGAGCAGTTAGGCATAGCACCCACGAGCTCCCTGTCTCTCGCCACACAAGGGCCTGCCCTGCCTCCAGATGCTGCCTACAGGAAGATGTGGTCAGGTGTGGCCCTGTGACCTCGGACAAGCACTGAGAGCCTAAATAATCCTCTCTTCATAACTTACCTAACATATGCTATTTTTATTAGCAACCGGAAACTGGCTAAGATGACGTAGAACTGTTTCTTCTACTTCTCCAAAGAAGTTCCCTAAAGCCAAGCTTTGGATGCCCAAGTAAGTGTCAGAAACACATCTCTAATTTCTGTTGTTTTTGAGCTTCTTTGAGGGATCGTGCCTCTCTGTAATCATTTCTGGATATGGAATCGGACTAGAAGAGAGCAGCTGCCTCACGTGGTAACGTAAAACTCCACAGTGCAGCACAAATTGATCGTAGAACCGATTGTGGGGCCCCCCTTAACCTTCCCCTTAGGAGCAGCTTCTCCAGCACTGACACACTGTGCACTAGTTGGCGAAGTTCTGTGAGGGCTCAGGCCCGTGGTTGTACTTGGATGCATCTCAAGGCCTCAGGCTCCAGTAAATGGGGACTGGGCAGCTCAGCCTGCTCTGCGCATGACCAGCGCTCTCTGGCTTTTGTGTGCTTTTATGGCGTCGTCTGCGCCTTGCTTGCTTGGTCCACACGTTGCACAGTTGTGTTGACCTCCTGTGCTAAAATTTGGCTTGAAAAACCAACACCTGTTTGGTGAGTCTGATCTCCCAGAACTGTCTGGGATCACTCCTCCCCAGTTTTACTATTTTTTTGGTCAACACATGTCAAATGTTCTAAGGCCGTTGCCCCGAATGCCTGTGTGTCCCCAGGAAGGACCGCCTTTCCTCAGTATTCTGCGAGCCTTCAATCTTTACACATCGCTCTAGGCCCTCCTGCCTCACGTGACTTCCCGGCTCAGGGCCTTGAGACTGTGTTGATCCTTCCTCCCTGAGATATTATGGTGGCTCCAGCCATGTTGGTCCAGAAGCTGGGGCAGAAGCACAGCAGTGGTGAGGGGACCCACCTGGTCGCCCTGCGGCTCATTGTCACCCTTCCTTTGTGTAATTCTGTCACCTCTGAATGCCCTGGGAGGGTTGGCTTGGGTGCAAGGACGGAGGCCTCTGTTCTGCGCGTGGCAGCAATGCTGCTCACGTCTAAGACTTTAGACACTGCTACCATTCTACCTTTCCTTGTGTGTCGCAAGCCGGCGACGCAGAGCACTGTCCAGCAGTGTCTCAAACCTGAAAGAGCAGCAGGGTGGAGATGGGGCACAGAGAAAGGAAAGACGCCAAGACAAGCGTCTGATCAAGGCGACGTTTATTGCAGGCAGGCATCAGCCTTTTAAAGGAAAAGACTGAACTATTATGGGCTAGGATTACCATAGTAACCTCAACACGTGCTCCAGGGGAACGAGGGTTCACACGGGAAAGAGAAAGCAGACTCAAGAAAAACAAATTAACAACACTTGCAACTAATAATCATGATT